TATTCAAGAGGAATAATCGTTTATGAATTTCCAGGCTGTTGGACGAGATACGTCGGCACAGTACTCTGATTATAATAGGCGAAACTGGCAGCGGTAAAACCACGCAAATTCCACAACTGTTACTCCAGGCCGGGGTTGCTGGGTCATCCGGTTGTATCGGCATCACGCAACCGCGAAGGATAGCGGCGGTCAGCGTAGCACGTCGGGTTGCACAGGAACAAGGGGTCAAACCTGGAAAATTGGTGGGTTACTGTGTTCGTTTTGAAGATTGTACCTCACCGCAAACGAGAATCAAATATCTGACGGACGGCATGATGGTTCGAGAGGCGATGACCGATGAGATTCTGTCGGATTATTCGGTATATTATCATATTATTATCACAATTGCTTAAGCGACGCAATCATTTATAGAAGAGCAAGATTGTATTTCAAAATTAATACAACAACGATGTTTTAAATAAAATTTAGATTGAAACAAAAAATATTATCATAATTTAATTTATTATGCAAACTGTTCTGGAATTAATTTTTTTTAAATTAAATTGAGTTCTAATAAATTAGATATTTTAATATTTTAACAAAAAATAAAAATTGAAGCTTTTCTGTTAAGAAGATAGTATTATATTTAATTTCCCCTAGATACTAATTTCCATGAAATCTAGAGAATCTATTTAAACATTTTTTTTTACTGCTTATCAAATTACCTACCCAATTATTGCATAAGTAACTTTGCAACAGGTAGTGATACTGGACGAAGCTCACGAGCGATCTGTGCATACCGATGTTCTGTTCGGGGTGGCGAGGCGAGCACAGAATTTGCGTAAATTGAAGAATTTGCCGCCCTTGAAACTTTTAATTATGTCAGCCACAATGGATCCCGTCAAATTCAAGGAGTATTTCCAGGCACCGGCGTTGTATTTAGAGGGTCGTCAGCATCCCTTGAGAATTTTTCATGCCGTCTCCTCGCAACAGGATTACGCATTCGCTGCGCTAGCCACAGCGTTTCAAATTCACCGCGAAGCACCCGCAAAGTAAGAACAGCACAAAATTCTAACACATTATATAAATTATGTATTCTGGAGAGAACGTATGTAGGAATAGATAGTATGTAGGAATATGTTAAAGAATTACTCTACGTTAAAGAATTTATTCTTTCTGAAATGATTACAGTTTTAATATTTCTTTATTCATAATCTTAAAATCATTTATTATAAACTGAGATACATGCGAGATGAGGATCGAGATTAAATTCGAAATCCATCGATTATAAATTAATAGTTCTCACATGGCGCCACACATGTCAATATATTTTAGTAATTTTTTGATCTTTGATTTTCTAGCGAGGATATTCTCATCTTTTTAACCGGTCAAGAAGAAATAGAAGCTGCTACAGTAGCCGCTCGACAAGTGGCTAAACAATTAGACGGACAGGAGTATCCGTCCTTGAAAGTCTTTCCCTTGTACGCGGCACTGCCTACTCATCAGCAGTTAGAAGCTTTTAAACCTTCGGCGCCCGGAATGCGGAAATTAATATTATCGACAAATGTTGCCGAAACGTCCGTCACGATTGGCGGTATGTATATATCTTTATCCTCAACTTTTTTCCTTTTAATTCTCTAAATAAAAATTGAAGGGATAAAAACATTTTTATCAGCGCTAAGGGTTTTTTTTTGTGCTAGATAATTATAAAGATAAGACAAGATATAAAGGAAATTTATTTTTAAAAGTTTTTTATAGTATTTTTCCAACGCGATAACTGAAGCGGCATACAAGATTATTTTTAACATCGCGCTTATTTGAACATTAATTATATAGTTACTGTTTTCGACCTTACCAATTAAAATCTAATTTGAGTACTTAACATAGAAGTTAAATATACATAGGAATTCGTCACGTGATCGATACTGGTGTGGTCAAAGCGAGAACACATCATCCAACAACGGGATTAGACGTATTAAGGGTTGAGAAAATCTCACAAGCTCAAGCCTGGCAAAGAGCAGGTAGAGCTGCTCGCGAAGCATCAGGCAAGTGTTATAGAGCTTACACACGAGAAG